GAGGGATAGAGAGTTAGAAACATCAACGAGAGAGAATCATTGATCAATTGCTCTTGGACACCCCCTACTGGTCAAGGTACATGCCCTTGACCAGAATTGAACCCGGGACCTTTCAGTCCCCAGGCTGACACTCTATCCACTGAGCCAAACCGGTTTTGGCATCTATGAACCCTCTTTATTTCAAAGATATGACCTGGTTAGCAGCCTGCAATTTAGAGTAAAGCAATGGCTGTCTAATATGACAAAATTCAAAAGTGGTATGCTTATGGATTTGCTTAAAATGCAGTTGATAAAATTTTTGCTTTCCAATAGGATATGACATTCTGAGATAGCAACCTTTTAGTATAAGAAACAATCCTATATAATGAAGAGCTAATATGCTAATTAGACCAAACAGCAGAACAACCATTTGGACGACCTTCCAGATGAAGCCAGGGGCTAAGAGGGCCAAGCCCCTTGTACAAATTTCCTGCATGGGGCCTCTAGTTTGTATATAAAGGGAAACATGTGCACATGGCTTATTGCAGATGGTGTATTAAACATTGAAAACAATTTATAAATCCCAATAGATGAAATGCAAAACACCCAGAGTGTCATCATACTTGCCCTACATCCCTGACTGGAAGTTTCCCATTTGAACTTGGCTCTGAACATGAGTAAGTCAAACATGTCAAACTCCAGGCTAACAAAGCATGTGGCCTGCCAGCTGGGAGTCTGATGTGCTTGGTGTTGCTACCAATGGAGAAAGATACAGGTAAAGCCTAACTAGTCAACATTAATGGTTAACCAATTAGCAGTGCTCTCAGAATCAATAATTCTCCCAAGAGGAGGGGTTCGGCTAACATAATGGCCTCACAATAGACTGGTTGACCACAACTAATAAATGGTTCAAAGATACTCAGGGTTGCCGGTTAGGGTTCAAAGTTCTTGCTTTGGAATAACTCCAGAAAACAGATGTTTCTGCTTACTGTTGTCCCACTCATGACTCTCTTATGCCCACACGTCATCATTACAATGAACTGAGCTGTTTTTACTTCAATAGCACTACTCTTGGGGCCTTTAGATTTTTGTGTTGTTTCTTATGAAACAGAATTGAGAGAAAATGTAGTGTGAAGAACTGAGAAGATGAGCAGAAAAGGCCATATCTGTAAATAGTAAATGGATTAACTTTGAAGGATTAGGTGTTTTCCCAAATTCTACAATATTCTTGACACAAATGTAATACCCATTTAACTGCCAATCACCACGTATCAGCCATTATAACCCTCATTGGGCAAATGCTGGAAAGGTCTCTATGCCACTATATCCCTGAGGTAGTGTGTCATCTTTTTCATAGGCAAACAATCTATCCAGTCAGTTTGTCTTCTAAATAGAATGACCGCAAAAGATGAATATCCTATAAACTGTTCAAATACCCTCTTATTCACTTGGCTTGTTGACCTTAACTGCTGCTCCTCTTCTGTTACAGATTCCTGAATAACAAGTATTTCTTGGCATATCCTAAGATAAATAATGACTCTTTTGCCTCTGTTGACATGATAGGAGACACACTATCTGATCTGGAACACAACTCAAGTTCTTCCTAGCACAGGTTCCCTCACCCCTATTCTGCAGGCACTACACCAGGCAAAGTCAGCTCGTATTTCTTAGAACTGCAGTTAGTAGCTTGGAGTTTATAGTTTCATCTTTTCTATTGTCACTTTTCACTGAATAAACATTTGACCCAAAAGAAGACTTCAATCTCTTTAATTGGAGAAAGGTTTACTGCTGAAAAAATAAGGGTTCAATGTGACAGAAATATGACCTTGCAAGTATTCAGACTGCCTTTTTCTCACAGTGATTTATAAATGTCAAATAAAGAAAGAGCCCATTTAATGAAGACACAGTATGTTAATGATTATAAAGAATGATGTGAGGCTCTAGCCTGTTTTGCTCAGTGGATAGAGTGTAGGCCTGTGGACTGAAGGATTGAGGGTTCAGATCCTGTCAAGGGCAGTACCTCCCTTGCAGGCTTCTCCCTGGCCTGGGCCCTGGTCACAGCACATGCAGGCAGAACCAATTGATGTATTTCTCTCACATTGACATTTCTCTCTCTTTCCTTTCCCTCTCTCTTCCACTCACCATACAATCAATAGAAAAATATTGAAGATTAAAAAAATAATAATGTGAGTCAATAATGAAAATAAATAGCTTGAGGAAAGTAAATGGAAACTTACGGTTGTTGAACTTTTAAATTTTATGTCAACTGTAAACAGAGAAAATGTAGAAAATTTATCCACTTAAAATACTTAAGCATATAAATATTAGTCCTATAATTGACTGAACCACTGAGCTATGGTGGCTCACACTTAAATATAAAACTAAAAACAAAACAAAACAAAAAAAACACAAAACTTAGTGGAGATGCCAAAGACTGCATGTATCTGGGAAAACAGACTCTTCCATATAATTAATTCTAGGAACTCACTGAAACAAACAATTAAACACAGCAAAGCAAAGCAGGAGGAACAGGGGAGTGTGACATGCCAAAAACAGAGCAGTTAACAGAAACTGTCTCTGGATAAACTCAGACACTGTTTCTTGGCATTTGGCACATTTTGTTGAAACCTGGGTATTGGAACTTGTCTAGATTCTGTTCTGCTAGAAGTAGAGTATTTCTCCTTTTCCCACAGGTCTTTGAAGATATGTTCAGTTTTTCTTTTTTCTTTTATTTATTCTTCTGTCTTTCTTTTCTTAAGACTGCGTTATCTTGATTAAGTTACCTATACATTCCCTAATGATTTCTTCTGCCAGATCAAATTTTCTCTGGAGACCTTCCAATGTATTTTTAATAGGTACTGGGTCAGTTTTTATTAACTGTTTTTCCCCCTGCATATGTGTTATGGTGAGAAGACTTTCTTGTTTTATGGTGAGAAGACTTAAGATATACTTTCTTAGCAAATTTCAAGTATACAATACAGTATTAGCTATAGTAACCATGCTGTGTAATAAATAGTCAGAACTTCCCCTTGCATAACTGAAAGTTTGTACCCCTTGACCAACATCTCCCCATTTTCTCCACTTCCCAGACCCACAGAAACCACCATTTAATTCTTTATTTTAATGATTTTGAGTTTTACTGTTGTGGATTGGAAGTGAGACCTTTCCACACAACTCTTTGAACCATCAATGTAGATTCCTTCATAGTAGAATTTTCATCATGGAACAATATGAAATCCTACACATAAGAGATCTTAGCCAATGTACCAGACCTTTGGCAAAACAATACTGATTTGTCATTGACTTGAATCGACCAGTTAGCTAAAATTCAACCTAATGGGCTCTCTGATGGAACCAAGACCAAATCTCTTATTTCAAAATAGAAAAGAAAAAAAAAAAATGCAAAGAAAGACAAGCTCAAAACAGATGAGTTACAAAACAGCAATGATCAAAGCAAGTCCCCAAAAGAGAAGAAAACAAACAAAGAACAAGTGTAACCAAAGTTTCATTTCAGACAGGTGAGGGCTCTCAGAGAGCACTTAGACCAGACAAGCCAGATTTCTCAGACAGCAGCTTGCTGCCCTCCCCCGGAGGAACTGGGCTTCAGTCATAGAGTCTGCTCCCCTGCCAAAACGTGACCTCAGGTGACTCTTTGCTGTGTCCTAGATGGCCAAAAAGACCAGACAGCGGTGATAGAAGACCCCTCCTGTGTACCCCAGTTTGACTTCCAGTCAGACTTGGAGTCCACAGACTCCACAGGGACTTGTTCCCTTCCACCAGCTAAGTGTTCCAGGCCCCTGATGCCTTGAGAGGAAGAGCAGGGAGAGCACTGAGATAAACAACTCTCAACTGCTGCTGGGAAATCACTGTAGTCCCTGTCATGGAGGAGCCGCTGAGGAGCCGCTGGACCCTCAGCCCAGATCCTCGGGCCTACCAAGGTCCACATGGTCCCAGAAGAGTTGCCAGAAATTGTAACTGAAAATCCAGATTCTGCTGCCTGCCACAGCAAAATCCAAACTCTGGCACTGAAGTCCTGGCATTTTTGGAAACATCTAGAAAGTCTGGATCAACATGAAAACAACAACAAGCAACCCCACAACTAGCTGACACCAAGAGTAAACAAAGGCAGGCGTTTGTAGAGGGGAGACAAAATTGGAGGCGGTGGCCAGGATGGGAGGTGAGTTTTTCTGTTTTGTTTGTTTTCTTTTGCCCTCTTTGTCTCTGGAGTTGGGCTCAGCTACAGAACATGTGGCAGCTAAAAATGCAATAGAGTATGTAACCACTAGATGGCAGTCGTAAGTACATTTTAAAGACAATTTACTGAATTCTGTTGATAAAATGGCAATAGTGTCCTTTTCATGATTAAAAGAGGTATAGAAATTTAATACTACTTAGTTACTAGAGGCCTGGTATACGATATTCATGCACTGAGGGTGGGCCTTCAGCCTGCCTTGCACACCCTCAAAGGGTGAGAGTCCTGGAGGGATGTCTGACTGCCAGCTTAGGCCCCCTCCCTGGTAAGCCAGCAGGCAGACATACCCCAGAGTCCTTAGTGATGCCATGGAGGCAGAAGAAGCTCCCATCACCACTACTGTGCTTGCCAGCTGTGAGCTAGGCTTTGTGTGAGTGGCACTCCCCTGTGGGAGTGCACTGACCACCAAGGGGCAGATCCTGCATTGAGCATCTGCCCCCGGTGGTCAGTGCACATCATAGTGACTGGTCATTCTGCAAATTGATTTGCATATTGGCCTTTTATTATATATGACTCATTAGAAAAAGCAATCTATGAAATATACCCTGTCTTTAGCAAAATAGACTAACTCCATAGGAACAAAAAATTCTTATTAAATGGAAAAAATGTATTTGTATTATATGGTAATTCAGAATAAAATTCATATAAATCTCATTTCTTCCATTCACAGCCACAACACAAGCTTTGGGCATATGCTTAATTTTGCATATAAAAATATGGAATGAGAAAAAGAAGGAAAATCGTATTTACTTCAACATTATTTTTTTTAATATAACTATCACTTAATATTCTTGAAGTGTAATTGCAAGAGACATGTGATCTTTAATTTACAGGCTTAAATTATTTTTATGATAAGAAGGAGGATTTGAGAATAAGATGAGATTGTTTATAGATAATAGAAAATAATCTTTTCACCCGCAAACTGCTGAGCATTAATATCATCCTTTTACTGGATAGTAAGAGAATTAAGACAGTATAGTTAAAACCTCGGCTTGAATTTGAATCAGTGCTAGGAGGTGGCTTCTAGGAAACAAATCCTTTAGTTTATACATAAGCATAGAGAATACTCTATGAAATTCACCTGAGAATATGGAAATCATGTGGGTCTCTAGTTTGTAAAATTACTGTTTAAAATTCTCTGCTATTTGCAGACGATTCCTTGTTCTTTGAGTCAACTTTTATTTTTAGACAGTCCCTTATACTCTCAAAATCAATATATAAAAGAAATTTTAGTGATCTGGTAAAGTATTAAATAGATCCATGTGCTTTCATAAGAGTTCTCTATTTCAACATTCACAATTATTATAAATCAAAGAATTAATATTTAATTATAATAATAAAATACATTTTAATGTTTCATTAATACTAAATTTAATTGTAGATAAAGAAAAAATACACACTACTGAAAACTCAGAACATTTATAATTCCTATTAAGTGCTTCCTGTTTTTCAATTTATAATACAGGATATCAATGTAGACTATCTCCTAAATCATTTAATTTCAAATGTTTATCCAACTCCTGGCCACTAATCTAAGCGCAGTTTACTCATTTTTCATTACTAAAGTTTTATAGTTAACATTTTTATAAGAAGCACAAATTAATGTGTCTATTAAAATAGCCTCTCTAGTTAGTAGATTTTTTTGGAATTCTTTTACATGACTTTACTCCTCATTTAAATCCCAGATGATCTTCAAAGGAAAATCTTTCATGTTCCTTTGGAATATTTTGTCAAATCTCTCATTTTGCTCCACTGTGAAGTGATGTTTCCAGTCTCCAACAGTACCTAGAAATGAACACACGATGGCACCTGGGTGAATAAGTGGCACTATCCGGACAGGAGTTTCTTCCCACCCACTTCAATCTCCTCTGCCAGCCACACTAAGTACCTGTCCGTTCTCCATGGGTTTGATACTTCATGTTTCCTTACACAGAAATGAACTAAGAAACAAACTTAAAAACACTTATAAAGTTCACTCTCCTCAGCTACTATGCTTTCACCAACCACTACCATTCAATTATAGCCTTTATTGCGATGGTATAACAAGAGTAAAATAGATGACTAGACTAGAGATTCTTAATATATTTTACTGAAAACCAGGCACCAAAGAAATACAAGTACCATATCATTTCACTCATATGTGGAATTTAATGAACAAACTGAACTAACATGCAAAATAAATTCCTAGAGAGCAATCAGACAACTCTGGTATGGGGTAACTATTTGGAGTGTGGGGTGCAGAGATGGAGGGGGGAAAACAGAAAGAACTCATGGACATGGACAACAGTGTGGTGATTGTGGGAGGGAGAGAGATGGCTAGAGGTGAAAGATGGGATAGGAGAGATAAATGGGGATGGGGAAAGAATAAAATAAAAAGAAAATAAATGCTGGGAACCATACTTGACAAACAATTTGTATCATCTAATATAATTCTTAACACAACTCCACAATATAAGCATTTCTTCATTTTTAAAATTGAATATACTGAAGGGATTAAGAAGTATAGCCTGGTAATTACAAAATAGTCATGGGATGTAAAATATAGTATAGGGAATATGGACAATAATATTGTAATAACTATGGATTGTGCCAAGTGGGTACTCTAATTATTGGGGGAAACACTTCATAAATTATATAAATGTCTAACTGCTATGCTGCATAGCTGAAACTAATATAAAATAATCCTGAATCTCAACTATAATTTAAAAAGTAAAAATAAAGAAATAAAAAGCTAAAGATAAAATAAATGAAATTGAAAAAAAAAGACCAGCCAGCAGGACTCAGTTGTTGAGTGTTGACCTAAGAACCAGCAGGTCACAGTTTGATTCCTGGTCAGGTCACAATCTGACTCCCCAGTGTGTGGTGTGCAGGAGGCAACCAACCAATGACTCTCTCTCATCATTAATGTTTCTATCTCTCCCTCCATCTCTCCTCCTCTGTGAAATCAATAAAAACATTCTTAAAATTAAAAAAAAAAATGAAACCCAAAGATTTTCAAGTAATGAAATCAAGGTCACAGAGGGTGTTCAGAGCTATCATTGCTTCAGTTTTACTTGAAGGAGGTTAGAAACTGTCATTAAGCCAATTTTTTAATGAAGATTATTGGGTATCTTCCACTATCAGATTTTCTTTTTTAAACATTAGGTGCCCGGTACAGGAAATCTGTGCACTGGGGGAGGGGTTCCTCAGCCCAGCCTGCCCCCTGTCACTTACTGGGAGCCCTCAGGGGATATCCTATGGATGGCTTAAGCCCGCTTCCCATTGGGAGCAGACCTAAGCCACAGTCTGGCCTCCCTTTGCCAGAGGTTATCAGGCTGATCAGGGGAAGGTGCCAGCTCCATTACCCTGCTGCTGCAGCCACTGCCAGTCACTGAAGCTACCAAGGTATTTTCATCAACATGGAGTCTAGTCCCTTCACCATAAAAAAATGACAACTTTCTTTAAGTATTTTCAAGATGTGTCTTTTATAGGATATGACATTTGTTTCTTTATTTTTCTTTTTATCCTCACCTGAGAATTTGTTTCCATTGAGATTTTTCCCTTCCCTTTGATCCCAAGCTCAGCCCCTTCCCAAACCTAATACCTCCACCCCAGGCTTTAGGCTTGGGAAGGGATTCCCCTCCAACACCTCCCCAAGCCTAAAGCCTCTACCTGCTGGCAGGCTGGGATTATGCAAATTAACTGCCATCTTTATGTGGTTAATTTGCATGTTCACTCTGATTGGCTGTGGGCATAGCAAAGGTAGTCTATTTACATGTTTCTCTATTATTAGGTAAGATTATCATTGGCATTTGGAACTGTTAGCAAGCTATTTATGAGCATGAGAATTACTTTGTATTTTATATAATCAAACAATGAGACTTAAAAGCTGATAGTAAATGGGACAAAAGAAACACTTTTTTAAAAATAGCAATATCAAGAGGAATTTCAAGATCTTCATTAATTAAGAATAAATATCCATCATCAAAATGCTAGGTTGTGGATAAATTAGTGAATAAAATATGAATAAAACAAGTACAAATTATGTTCTAGAAAAATGTATTTTAAAAGATCAAAAAATTTTTTAATTGAAATTATGAAGTATCAGGGGGGAAAAACATTCATTCTTAATTCCTGGCATGTTATAAAAGCACAATAAAAATTAATTGCATGTTGTTATTAAGTACTTGAATTCATAGCATATGGGTTTCATGAAGTATTAACCTACTTTTTACACTGCAGAAATCTGATACATGAGGAAATAACTATTAACTCAAATTCCCATTCCCACAATAAAATACATGTTGGGTTTACTTCTGGAATGTTCTAGGAGAAAAAAAGAAAACCAATAATTGGAGCTGTCTTGGTCACATTTATACATCAACTTCAGGTAAGACTTGCTAACCAACTTTATTTATGTATGTATGTATGTATGTATGTATGTATTTATTTATTTATTTATTAAATATCTCGCCTTTTTTAAAAAAAAAAATACATCTTATTGATTTTTTACAGAGAGGAAGCAAGAGGGATAGGGAGCTAGAAACATCAATGAGAGAGAAATATCTATCAGCTGCCTCCTGCACATCTACTGGGGATGTGCCCCCAACCAAGGCACAGACCCTTGACTGAAATCGAATCTGGGACCTTCCAGTCCACAGGCTGAAGCTCTATCCACTGAGCCAAACTGGTTTTGGCAGTTGCTAACCAATATTTAAGAGTAGGGACATGTAGGCTAAAAGGAAGGAATGTAATATTGATTAATTAGGTTCGAGTGTTAGACTTGTACTACAAAATTGTTAGTGTCCTGGGATACTTCTCAGGGCCATTTGCAGTTAAGATCTTTGATTCTCTCCAGGTCCCAATGGCAGTACTTAGAAAGATTGGTAAACACCCCTTAATTAGTGTAGGGACCAACCAATCGCGGAACTCTCAACACTTTTGCTTCTAAAACCCCTTGAGCATCACCTTTGCGCAGAAAACGTCCCTCATCTGTTCTTGTCCCAACTTCATGTTTTAGAATCTCATCATAATTTGCTTTTGGATCAGACTTCATGTTCTGAAATGTAGCCTGTTTCACAGTAGCTTCCACATCTGCTTCACTCAGTTCTTTCTCAAGAAAACGGCTGATTTTAAGCACAGAACTTCTGAGATCCTGAAAGAATTGTGGGTATGAGAAACTATTCAGCTTACAAAGAATGCATGAGTTATATCGCAACATCTTGATCACATTTTGGAAAACTGAAGATGACTGGACTAGCTGTAAGTCTAAACTTTGACAAAGATATATTACTTTCCTATTCCTTCTATGAAAATGAGTGCTCTGGTTGTCAACTTTGTTAGAGCCTTCTATCGTGTCTCCTACCAGGGATCAAGTCTGCAACCCAGGCCCTCCTGGGAATAGAACCAGCAACCCTTCAGTGCATAGGAAGACACCTAACCAACTAGTCACACCGGCCAGGCTTGGTCCCAGCATTTCAAAGTGCCTTTACCCTTTTTGCAATCACTAGTCTTGTGAGTTTGCCCTTATTGACACAGATGGGGGCATGGAAAGGAACCACAGGAGATGATTTTGTACAGTGAGAGGAGAGCCCTGAGGAAGCCAATAATTAAGGGAGAGGCAGGCAGTTAGAAATCTCTGAAAAAGCATGAGAAATAGGTAGGTCCCAAGAAAATGAGGAAAATGTGTTTCATTAAAACTAAAATAAAAAAGGGGTTCAAAGAAATAATTTTAAAAAATAACCTTTGCTTCTTACCTTTTTCATTTCCTCATACATCATGAACAGAATATTGAAGTCATGTCTGTGCTCATACCAGCCTCTGACGTGATCAAACCAACGGCTTCCAACCACTGGGGGGAAATCAGTCAATGACAATGGAAAGATGGTGCACTTACCACACAGCAAATAGAGTCTTTCTTTTCTCTTCTGGCATCCTCCGGAAGAAAAGGAGAGCCCCCACCACTAGACATCTGTGTTACCTGGTAAAATGGTGCTTTGGGAAACAATCATCTGATTTCAGTGGAAGCCTGCCTTTCCTATGTCTGTAGGAAAAGCAGTAGTGAAGAAAATAAGAAGCCCAAACAACTGATTGTGAAGATTTAGGGTGAGCTCCTTACTTTCTTACTTCTCCCACCTGAAAAGCTGTCTTTATTTCTCCTTTTATTATCTAAATAAGTGAGAGCCCCAATTCCACATCCCACAAGCCTCTGACATCAATCTATCCTCCTCAGTGTTGAAATGAATATTCCACCGCTGCCATGTAAGGCCTACCACAGGTCCACAACAGAACACAAACACTGCATCCACTTTCAATTGGTGCACCATTGGGGTTCTTTTATGATCTGTTCAAACTCTTTCTTAAACAATATGCCTTTGCAACCATAACAGTTCCCAAAGTGGTTCTGGTGAGAACCGAAAAGCCATTGGGTGGCAAATTAAGTTAACAGTGTAGTAGCCACTTGTGTGCGTCCAGCTTCTATCATTCCTCGTCTTTATTTCCTTCAAATATGTTCCCCAAGTTTGAGAATTTGGCTAGATGGCATCATGACCTTATGAACAAGTTGAATGCATAAATTCATAGTTACCATTCCCATCTAGAAACCTTTTCATAAAATATTCCATATCATTCCCAGCTTCAAGTGTGACCACCACATTTGAGAAATGAAAGTATGAAGTCATAACATCTTTTGGGTTTCTGTAGACATAAACAATCTGCAGGGGGGATAGTAAAATAAAATAATTTTAACAATTGTTGGTTGTCCTTACAGGTCGTTGTTATTTTTGTTGCTCCTTTTTTGTTGCTCAACATATTTCACTATGTCAATGCATAATAATTTGTTTCATCCAGCCTACTTGTCATGGAAATTTAGGTTATAGCCATTTTTTTGCTATTACAAAGACTGTTGAAGTAATCAACTTTATTCATAGGACATTTCACATGTACAAGCATATGGGAATAACATCCAAAAATAAAATTATTTATTTGTAAAGTTGGTTAATACTACAAATTACCCTGCATAGAAACTGTTTCAATGCACCCTCTGTAAGCGTTAAGTGACATTTGATTAAAACAAAAACAAAAACCAGAAAACACTGGAGAGCATTTCTAAAAGGAAAAACTACTTAAGAGATGATATTGAAACAAAAAGTTGTCCATATAGTATAAAACTGAAATTCTACTTCATACCTCATAGCAGACCAAAAAAAAAAAAAAAATCATTTACAAATGGATTAAGTATTTAAATATGAAAGCATTTTTGACATTTTAAAAATAAAAAATATATTTCTGGTTTCAGAGAAAAAAATATTTCCTAAACAGAAAAAAATTTTGGTAAAATAGATAGAGATCCAAGATGGCTGCGCCCAGGTGAACACCTAGCCGCAGCCGCACACAACAATTTCAATAAAATACAACTAAAATATAAAATGGACATTGCCCAGAACTACAGGAAGGTTGACTGACTGGAAATTCTACAGCGAGAAGCAAGGAGAAAACCAGAAGGAGGCGCGGAGGAGCTCGAAAAGTCCAAGGTACGGAGACACGGCGCACGGAGAGGACGGAGCTGGAGAGGAGGTGGAGGCCGAGTGCCTGGCGGTCGTTCCCAAGCGGAAAGGAGATAAAACTCCGACTATGCTGGGCCCCCGACTGCTCTGAACCCCAGTTCTAGGCCAGACCCCGGGGACTCGAGCTCAGCCATAGGGAGCCGGGCTGTAAGGTGGAACCCCGGGGAGCGGTGAAAGGAGGTCCCAGCGGCGCGCACACTGAGCGCAGAGAAGGGCCGGCCGGCTGTGCCGCGGGATTGCCCTGATGGGAAGGAGACTGGGGCTCCAGACTGCTCTGAACGCCACCTCCAATCCCACTACCAACTGAACTGAACCCCAATACCGGGCTCATTGTGGGAGAGCATAGCCATAGACTGTTTGGCAGCAGGCGAAAATCGAGGGCACCTTTCTCTCAGAGGCACCGGCAGCGAGCACTGAAGGACCCGCATGGGGCGGGGCTGACGGAAGCCAAAGCTGCAGGCTCCACCCTGAAACCCCATCCCATCTGTAACTGCGAAATGCAACAACAAAATAGATCACAAACGAAAGAAATGGAGGACAAAAAGCGTCTGGATATAGAGTTCAAATCTACGCTTATAAGGTTTTTCAAGAATTTCCTGGAAAAGATGGATAAGACCTATGAGGACATGAAAAGAGATCAACTAGAATTAATAAGGAGTCAACAAGAAATGATAAGGGATCAACAAGAAATGATAAGGGATCAACAAGAAATAAAGAATACATTGTCTGAAATAAAAAATATTTTACAGAGTCCTAAAAACAGAAGGGAAGATCGTAAGAATCAAGTCAAAGATTTGGAACATAAAGAGCCAGAAGACACTCCTCCACAGAAGCTAGAAGGCAAGAGAATCCAGAAAATTGAAGATAATGTAAGAAACCTCTGGGACAACTTCAAGCGAACCAACATCAGAATTATGGGGGTCCCAGAAGATGAGAGAGAGCAAGATATCGAAAACATACTGAAAGAAATAGTGACAGAAAACTTCCCCCACCTGGTGAAAGAATTAGACTTACAAGTCCAGGAAGCACACAGAACTCCAAACAAAAGGAATCCAAAGAGGACCACACCGAGACACATCATTATTAAAATTCCAAGAGCAAAAGACAAAGAGAGAATATTAAAAGAAGCAAGAGCAAAGAAGGTAGTAACCTATAAAGGAGCACCTATACGATTGTCAGCTGACTTCTCAACAGAAACCATGCAGGCCAGAAGGGAATGGCAAGAAATATTCAAGGTGATGAATAGCAAGAACCTACAGCCAAAAATAATCTACCCAGCAAAGCTATCACTCAGAATCAAAGGCCAGATAAAGAGCTTCACTAATAAAAAAAAAAGCTAAAGGAGTTCATCACCGCCAAACCAGAATTATATGAATTGCTGAAGGGGGTTCTTTCAGAAGAGAAAGTAAACAAAGGTAAAAATTATGAACAACAAATATGTAACTATCAACAAGTGAATCTAAAAACCAAGAAAATTAAAAAAAATCTGATTAACAATATTAACTGTTGAATATAATAGAATCAGAGGTATGGAAGGGGAGTGAACTGACGATTCTTGGGGAAAAGGGGAGAGGGGGGCATGGGAAGAGACTGAACATAAACTGTGCATCTATGGATGAGGACAATGGGGAGAGGGGAAAGGGCAGAGGGTGGGGTGGGAACCTGGTGGAGGAGAGCAATGGTGGGGGGGGGGGAAAAAGGAACATTTGTAATAATATGAACAATAAAAACTTATTAAAAAAAAAGAAGAAAAAAAGAAAAAAATTTTGGTAAAATAAAAATTGATTAATTAAATTATATTAAGTTTTAATTTTTTTTTCTTTTCTTCAAATATATTTTATTGATCTTGTACAGAGTAGAAGGGAGAGAGACAGAGAGCCAGAAACACCGATGAGAGAGAGTCATCGATCAGCTGCCTCTTGCACACCCCCTACCGGGGATATGCCCGCAGCCAAGGTACATGCCCTTGACCGGAATCGGACCCGGGTCCCTCAGTCCCCAAGCCGACGCTCTATCCATTGAGCCAAACCAGTCTCGGCAAATTATATTAAGTTTTAATGAATGCTATAAATCAAAATACATAGCATGAGGTTAAAAAAGCAACAACGTATGAGAAAAGCAACACAAATAACCAATAATTTAATAGAATCCAGAATATGTATAAAACAAATCATTAAGAAAAAGACAATGAAATTTAAAAATTGGTCAAAAATCATAATGTCACAAAATAAGAAATAACTATGGCCAATAAACATATCAAAAAGTGCTTAATCTCATTACTGATTAGGAAAATGCAAACTCAGATTATCGGGTCTAGTAATAATTAATGTCATTTTAAAACATTCGTTTAAAATCTTGCTTGGTGTTGACTTGTATTGACATAACCTTTAAACACGTGGTATCTACAGAACGTGTGAAGTGCAATTAACAAGTTTTGCTTGAAAAAGTTTGTGTGTGGTTTGGTTTTTGTTGCAAAACTAGGGTTAAGAAGATGGCGGATGAAGAGCATATTCGGCACTGCATGCTTTACGAGTTCCAATTAGGAAGAAAAGCAAGTGAGGCTGCAAAAAACATCTGTAGTGCTCTTGGTCAAGATGCAGTTAGCGCCAGAAAATGCCAGCGTTGGTTTGAGAAGTTTCGCAAAGGAAATTTTTCATTAGATGACAAGAGTGGTCGAGGCCGTGTGTCCAATTTTGATCAAGAAGCTCTTCAAGATCTTTTGGTGCAAAATCCTCAAATTACCCAACAAGAGCTTGCGACAACTTTAAATTGTTCACAGAAAACAATTTCCAATCAATTGCGTGCACTTGGAAAAGTCCAAAAGTTTGGAAAATGGGTTCCTCATGAGTTGACAGACAACAACCGTAATCAAAGAGTCACAATTTGTAGTTCGCTCCTCTCTCGTCAAAACCGTTTGCCGTTTTTAGAGCAAATTGTTACTGGAAATGAAGAATGGGTGCTGTATGTTAATTTGAAAAGGCGGCCTCAATGGTTGGACAAAAATGAGGCTCCGCAGCCCACGCCAAAACCTGACTTGCATGCGAAAAAAGTGATGTTGTGTGTTTGGTGGAATTTTAAAGGAATTCTTCATTATGAACTTTTACCATCTAACCAAACCATTACAAGTGCAGTGTATAGTGCCCAATTGGAAAGGTTAACCCAAGCTTTAAGAGAAAAAGAACCCGCGCTGATTAATCGGAAGGGCGTAATTCTTCACCACGATAACGCACGACCGCATACTGCAAGAATCACTGCTGAAAAACTGCGCCAGTTGGAATGGGAAGTTCTCCCTCAACCTGCATATTTTCCTGATATTGCCCCTTCCGATTACCATTTGTTTCGTTCTTTGCAAAACTTTCTTCTTGGAAAAAAAATTTAATAATGAAGAATGCCTCAAAAATGCATTGACCGACTTTTTTGCATCAAAATCACAAGAATTTTACAACAGAGGGATTAAAATGCTTCCTGAGAGTTGGGCACAAGTAGTAGAAAACAATGGCAACTATATTGTTGATTAAATTTTGTTGTATTGTTTAAATAAATTAGATTTAAAAAAGTATTAGAAAACGACATTAATTATTACTAGATATAATAGCTTGAGATATCATATTATAATTGATATTAAAAACTAAAAAGTTTGGCCATAGTCTGTTTAGATCAATGGATAAAGCATGAGAATGTGGACCAAAGGAACCCAGGTTTGATTCTGGTCAAGGCGAGTACCTAGGTTGCAGGCCCCTCCAGGCCTGGACCCTAATGCAGACTCATGCAGGAGGCAACCAATCCATGTGTTTCTATCACATCAGTATCTCTCTATGTCTTCCCTCTCTCTTCCACTCTCCCTAAAAATCAATGGAAAATATCCTCAGATGAGGATTATAAAGAAGAAAAAAGAATGTGTATTGCGATATAATATACACATTTGCTGCAACTAACCTGTCTATCAATACACTAAACATTGTAGAGCCATACAAAAATCCTACTAAACCATTAAAAAAAGAATAGAATTTTATGTGCTGTCATCAAAGAAATGTTGTTATATACTATATGATCACACTACAAGCAATGTGTGTGATGACCCAATTTATATGTACACTTATAATTCCATATATATTAAGGTGTCAAACAGTATAAAATATTATAATTATCACATTTGAAAGACTATGAATGAGTGGGGCGAGAGGAAAATATTTGAAGACAGTATTTTTGTTTGTGCTAAAGGTCCATAAGCACTTTATATGACTTACTTTAGCTTTCTTGCGCTTTAGACCTTTGGGTACTAAATAATACGGGAGGTGGGAACAGAATAGGCGAGGAGATGGTCTCTTGAGAAAGTCTGTTTTGCGTACATTGTATTCCAAGAAGGGGACTCTATCTAGTGTTGACAAATTTTCAGTTCTATTACGATGTCCCTCAAAATAAATCAAGCTTAGTATCTGCTGAGTCCAGATGGTTCCTGTAAAAACAAATAATTTCATTTTCAACACTGAATTAATTTTTTATTAACAATGTCAATAATTATGCCACCTATTGCAAAACTATTTGGAGCTTTTTCTTTCTTTTTAACCACTCTAAATATGCCAAGGAAATGGGCCCAACTTATTTTCTATGTATTTTACATTCAAACTAGTAAAGATAAAATAAGGTGTTCTAAGTTCGCTTTTTACTAAAAAAGAGTTGTGACGGTAGTGATTAGTTCAACCCTTCAGCTCGGTTCTTCCCTGTAATTCATGTGATTTTCTGTGGCTCTCTCTGTTCCGCCTTCCTTAATCTTGCTTAAAACTTTACCTTTTGGGAATATAGACAGTTTAAGAACTCAACACCCCTTTCAACTTTTCTTGTTAACGTTGTATAGTAGGTCTCCCAATACAGTGCTAAGTGAAAGTACTGATAGGCATTCTTGTCTCATACTTGTTTTTAAATGTTTCACCATTGCATTTGATGTCTGTGGTAGTTTTTGGTAGATTCTATTCATGAGGTTAAAGAAGTTCACTTTCTTCCTAGTTTGCTAATAGTCTGCCTTAGGAATGTACACTGAATTTATTAAATGCTTGTTCTGCACCTGTTGAGATGATAATTCAGGCTTTCTTCTATACTTTAATAATGTGTGTGAACTGCATTAATATATATGTTTTTAAATATATTTTATTGATTTTTTACAGAGAGGAAAGGAGAGGGATAGAGAGTTAGAAACATTGATGAGAAAGAAACATTGATTCAGCTGCCTCCTGCACACTCCCCAATGGGGATGTGCCCACCACCAAGGTACATGCCCTTGACCAGAATTGAACCTGCGACCTTTCAGTCCACAGGTCAATGCTCTATCCACTGGGCAAAATAGGTTAGAGCTGCATTAATATATTTTTAAGCCAATCTTGAAATAAAGCCACCTTGGTTACAGTAGGATTTATTTATTTATTTATTTATCTATTTATTTATTTATCTATTTTACATTGCTAGATTTGTTTTGCTTATGTTTATTTGGTGTAGGATTTTTGCACCTATGTTTATGAATATATAATCAATGTTCTAAAAGAATGTGAGGTGTCAATAATCTTCCAATCATTGCTACTCAATTGAGTAGATTTAATAGATACAATAGGTTTGATAAAATTTATGGTGAACCCTGGAGAGTCATTCACCTCCCCTGTAAGATGAGTAAGACCCCAGCAGGTTGGACTAAGGGCTGGTGTGTGGTGTGCCAAATACTTAGGCTGGGTTAAGGGCAAAGGAAAAATTCTTATGGGCTGCTTAACCTAAAACTAAGCAAAATGAGGAACACCAACATCAAATGGAGGAAAATAAAAAACACCTGATATCAAATGTGCCAACACATTCTGCTGAGTAGAAAAATCCAGGGAAAAGGCATTGTGTTACTAATTTGGGGAAAGTAAACATAATCCTGAATTTCAATGTCAATAGTAAAAGGAAGGGAATGGAGCATTTTCATGAAAATCAGGAATGATTATTTTTTGTATTGACTTTGACTCCAGTGTATTTTTGGGCAATATTAACCACTTTGTACAACATTGATTCAAGAACACCAAACACCCTGTGTTCTAAGAAGCACATATAAAAAATAAGCTTTTTAGGGAATTGTAAGATTTGAGAACAATTTGCATTAGTTCAAAATTATTTCATTATGATAGGGAAATAAAAGCAATTAGTGTAATGGAAAAGCATAATGAAAATTAATTCTGACTGAGAGATGATGCTAACCAAAATCCTCTGTGTCTTTTTTTTAATATATTTTCTTCCATTCTCACAGAAAGAACAACAGGTCAGCATTGACCTAGTATCTGCTTTGGCTCAGTATTTGGTTTCTTCATAGGTGCTTTAAAAAATAACGATATATGCATTTTAATTGATCTTATATGTGAAAATTTTGAGATTTATTAAAAATCGTAAGGGTGCTCTAAATATAGGCTGGGCTACTGTTAACATCTGGAAAAGGACCCATTTGTACACACGTATTACCAAACCAGAGTGAAAACTGGTAACAGGGAGTTCACTCCTCAAACTTACCAGATTTGGGATATGTAATTATGAAGACATCATCATCTCTAATTTCAAAATCATCTAGATTTTCTAGAAAGTCAGGATCAATTGAAGTAGATTCAAAATTATAGCCTTTATAATTCAGCAAATATGTGTGTTTGTTGTCCATACTTATTCACCTACAAGTAAAAACAAATAAAATTATTTTCAATTTCTTAGTATTTTATAGTAATTAAAAACACTTGCTGAGTGTTTGATATATGCCAAGCACCTTTTAAATGTCATGTGTCTCACCCCATGCCATACTAAACAGCATCCTATCTAATAAAAGAGTAATACGCAAATTGACTGTCATTCCAACACACAAGATGGCTGCCTTCATGTGGACACAAGATGGCTGCCACAAGATTTCCAGCAGGGGAGAGAAGTTGGGAGGGACCAGACCTGCAAAGGAGGGCATTTGGGGACAATCAGGCCAGCACAGCAGGGCAGTTGTGAGGGACCAGGCCTGCAAGGAAAGGCAGTTGGGGGATATCAAGCCTGTAGAGGAGGGCAGTTAGGGGTGACCAAGCCAGCAGAGGAGGGGAGTTGGTGGCAACTGGTCCTGCAGTGAAGGGCAATCTGGGGAACCCTGGGCTGTAGGGGAGGGCAGTTAGGGGCAATCAGACTGGCAGGCAAAAGCAGTTATGGGTAATCAGGAAGACAGGAAGACAAGCAGTTGGGAGCCAGCAGTCCTGGATTGTGAGAGGGATGTCCTGCTGCCCGTTTAGGCCCTATCCTACTGGGATCGGGCCTAAACGGGCAGTAGGACATCCCTCGAGGGGTTCCAGGTTGGAGAGGGTTTAGACTGAGCTGAGGGACACACACCCCCATGCACAAATTTCATGCATGGGGCCTATAGTCCTATATAATAAAACCCTAATATGCAAATCGACTGAACATCAGAATGACTAGTCACTATGATGTGCGCTAAACACCAGGGGTTAGACCCTCAATCCAAAAGCTTCCCCTCTGGAGTCAGTAAGTTCTCACAAGGGGAGAACCATTCAGCAAGAAGCTGGGCTCACAGGGGCAGGCACAGCATCAGTGGCAGGAGCCTCTCTGGCCCCCACTACAGGTGGGCAGTAAGGACCGAGGGGTCCTGGACTGTGAACGCCCCCGACTGCGAGAGTGATGTCTGCCTGCCTGCTTAGGCCCCATCACCCCAGCAGGCAGACATCCCCTGAGGGTGCCTGACTACAAGAGGGTGCAGGCTAGGCTGAGGCACCATCTGCTCACAGTGCATGAATCCATGCACTGGGCCTCTAGTACATATCTATAAAGATTTACTCTTAACAGCAACCAAACATTCCTAGAGGTTTTAGCACTACTTTAAAGAGGAGGAAAGTACCCTGTTTCCCTGAAAAGAAGACAGTGTCTTATATTAATTTTTTTCTCCCAAAGTTGTATTAGGACTTATTTTCAGGGGATGTCTTATCTTTCCATGCACTAGGTCTTATTTTCGAAGGATGTCTTATTTTCAGGGAAAAGTTAAACAACTTTTTCTAAAACCCCAGGAGGGAGGTATTATCATGATTCCAAACATTGAACTGAGGAAATAAGGTAAAGGAAGTGCAAGATTGCCCACCTAGGAGAACTTGCAGGATTTGATGCCGGACTGTGTGACTGCAGAGCCCATGCCTTCAATCACTTCACTAATACAGTTACTTAGTATTTCATATTTTTATTATTATAGAAATGGGAAATTCTCAAAAAAAAATTATACTTTTTTTTTCTTTTCTTTCTAGAACAGAAATAATCTGTTGCCCTGAAAGAAGCTTCTGAGGCTTTGGGATCTGTCTGCCATTTCAAATAAATTGTGGAATTTGCTCTGTGTGAGTAACACCAACTGGTTTTAATTTGGAGATGACACCCTCATATAGTTGTAAGATATTGTAAGGTTTTTATTACATTTTTCCAATTGAATTTTATCAGAAATCCTAAATAAATTTAAATAAGAAACTCAAAATATATATAGGAATCACACAGTCTAAAGAAATACACATTCAAAAATTGAACCAGTTAGGCATTTCTTTATTAAATCCACCTGTTAAATCTATTATATATATTGATTTCAAAGAGGGAGAGGAAGTAAGAGAGATAGAAACATCAATGAAAGAGAATCATTGATCAGTTGCCTTCTGCTCTCCCCCTTCTGGGAATTGAGCCCACTATCAAGGCATGTTCCCTGACCAGCAATCAAACTGATCCCTGGTTCATAGGTTGATGCTTACTGAGCCACCCAACTGGGTGAGAAATCTACTCTTGAATGTTAAGTAGATGAGGAAATCCCAGAAGTACTAATAACACTAGGTGTAGAGCCAACACATATGTTAGCTGTGTACTTTTAAAAGAAATTCCGTGTACACCTTGAAAATGAATTTGTTAAAGTTGCAAATATAGCTTTGTCTAAATTGCATGTCAAAAACATTTAATTCTTTTACAAACAATCTAAATCATCTGACTGATAGAGGAAGGTCAGAGGTTAGAATTTTGCTGAGTAAGAGTAGAA